AAGGGTTTAGGAATAGAGGGAGTAGGACAGAGGGGAATAGAGGAGGGGGGATAGACATTACAGTATCAGAGGTGGAAGCCAAACTTGACCAGCTAAACGGGACTAAATCGGGCGGACCGGATGATCTTCATCCTAGAATACTGAAGGAACTGGCGCGAGAAATTGCGAGCCCCTTGGCGACAATTTTTAATGAATCTGTAAACTCGGGGGTGGTACCGTTGGACTGGAGAATAGCTAATGTGGTTCCTATTTTCAAGAAGGGGAAAAAAAGTGACCCGGGTAACTACAGGCCTGTTAGTTTAACTTCTGTAGTATGTAAGGTCTTGGAAAAAATTTTGAAGGAGAAAGTAGTTAAGGACCTTGAGGTGAATGGCAATTGGGACAAATTACAACATGGGTTTACGAAAGGCAGGTCGTGCCAAACCAACCTGATCTCCTTCTTTGAGAAAGTAACAGACCTTCTAGATAAAGGAAATGCGGTGGATCTAATATACCTCGATTTTAGTAAAGCGTTTGATACGGTTCCGCATGAGGAATTATTGGTTAAATTGGATAAGATGGGGATCGATAGGAAAATCCAGAGGTGGATAAGGAACTGGTTAAAGGGGAGACTGCAGCGGGTAGTACTGAAAGGTGAACTGTCAGATTGGAGGGAGGTCACCAGTGGGGTTCCTCAAGGTTCAGTTCTGGGTCCGATTTTATTTAATCTATTCGTTACTGACCTCGGAACCAAATGTAGGAGTGGGCTGATAAAGTTTGCGGATGACACAAAGTTGGGAGGCATTGCCAACTCGGAGAAGGATCGGGATATTCTGCAGGGAGACTTGGATGACCTTGTAAATTGGAGTATTAGTAATAGGATGAGATTTAATAGTGAGAAGTGTAAGGTGATGCATTTAGGGATGACTAATATGAATTTCAGTTATAAGCTAGGGACGCATAGGTTAGAAGTGACTGAGGAGGAGAAGGACCTCGGACTCCTGGTTGATCGCAGGATGACTATGAGTCGGCAATGCGACGTGGCTGTGAAAAAAGCTAATGCGATCTTGGGATGCATAAGGCGAGGTATTTCTAGTAGGGACAGGGAGGTGCTGCTTCCGTTATACAAGGCGCTGGTGAGACCTCACTTGGAGTACTGTGTGCAGTTCTGGTCTCCTATGTTTAAAAGGGATGAACTGAAACTGGAACGGGTACAGAGAAGGGCAACTAGGATGATCCGAGGAATGGAAAACCTTTCCTATGAAAGGAGACTCGAGGAGCTTGGTTTGTTTAGCCTAACCAAAAGAAGGCTGAGGGGGGATATGATTGCTCTCTTTAAATATATCAAAGGGATAAATACCAGGGAGGGGGAGGAATTATTTCAGCTCAGTGCTAATGTGGACACGAGAACGAATGGATATAAACTGGCCGTGGGGAAGTTTAGGCTTGAAATTAGACGAAGGTTTCTAACCGTCAGAGGGGTGAAATTTTGGAACAGCCTTCCGAGGGAAACGGTGGGGGCGAAAGACCTCTCTGGCTTCAAGATTAGGCTAGATAAGTTTATGGAGGGAATGGTTTGATGGGATTACGTGATTCTAATCAATTAGGCAATAACGGCCATCGCTGGTAAAATGAGGGTCTGGCTAGAGAATCTTGCCTGTATGCTCGGGGTTCTGCTGATCGCCATATTTGGGGTCGGGAAGGAATTTTCCTCCAGGGTAGATTGGCAGTGGCCCTGGAGGTTTTTCGCCTTCCTCCGCAGCATAGGGCAGGGGTCGCAAGCTGGAAGATTCTCTGCGTCTTGAAGTCTTTAGATCACGATCTGGAGACTTCAACAGCAGAGCTAAGGGAAAGTGGGGGGGTCAGCTTTTGTGGCCTGCATCATGCGGGGGGTCAGACTAGATGACCATATTGGTCCCTTCTGACCTTAAAGTCTATGAGTCTATGAGCAGCACTTTGAGGAGGGCTCTCTCTTACCTGTTTCATAATACTAAGAAATTAGAACCATGTGGTAAGAAATACCTTCTACTAGCAGTACATCCCAGGGCTATCAAGACCAAATCAACCAGTTCTGGAAACATAACTAGATCTGCAGTTTAATCTGCTAAAGATCTGAAGTCTACAAATGGAATGAAGTGGCATTGTCGGAAGCATGTATAGTCTAGGTGCAAACTATGCTAAATGAGATGTATCTAGCAAACTGTAGAATGCTAAAAAAAAGTTCCCTTCAATCCTCTCATACTAGGTGTTATTATTCCTATTTTAGTAATAAGTAAACAGAGACAGAAAAATTAAGTGACTTGATGGCAGGGGAAGAGAGAAGCATTGTGAGCTTCTGAGTTAGGCAGAGTCTGCGAGTCGGAAGTTCTGAAGCTGGCTCTGGTACTAATTTGCTATGGGTCTTTAAGCGGGTCTCTAAGCATGAGTTTCCCCATCTCAAAAATGGAAATAGTGATATATATCTTCCACATAGGGGTGTTGTGAAGTCTGCCTAAATAATGAATGTAAAGAGCTATGCAAGTGCAAAGTGTTATTAAAGCTAGTCACTGGCAGAGATCAGGGCCGGCTCTGGCTTTTTTGCCGGCGGCCGGAGCCCCGGGGGGAGGGGGGCGAGCCCCGGCGGGGGCTCCGCTCTCCCCCCAGCGGCCGGGGGGAGGGCGCCGGGGGGGAGGGCGGCCGGAGCCCTGGGAGGAGGGTGGCGAGCCCTGGCGGGGGCTCGGCTCTCTTCCCCCTCCCCCGGCGGCCAGAGCGCCGGGGGCAGGGCGGCGAGCCCCGGCTGGGGCTCGGATCTCCCCCCGGCGGCCAGAGCGCAGGGCGGCGAGCCCCAACAGGGGCTCGCCGCTCTCCCCCGGCGGCCGGGGGGAGGGCGCGGGGGGGAGGGAGGCCAGAGCGCCGGGGGGAGTGCGGCGAGCCCGGCTGTGGCCCCGCTCTCCCCGGCGGCCGGAGCGCCGCGCCGCCCCCCTCCAGGTGCCGCCCCAAGCACCAGCTTGGGTGCTTGGTGCCTGGAGCCGGCCCTGGCAGAGATAGAAAGAGAACCTGGGAGTTCCTGGCTACCACTCTGCATTCAATGTACTAACTACACCATGCTATCTTAAGGTCATACATGATCACTTTTATGTTTTCAGTAGGAATGAACTGCTTTCACTTCAGGTCAAAAATTCACAGCTGCAAATTTTCAAGCAAAATTGGCTTTATGATTTTTTGTATGCCTCAATGCAAAACTTCTAATCGACTTAAATGTCAGAGGTGTGAATCATGCCAAATGCTCATGAATTCTTTGAGCCAGTTTTGCACCACTGTATTAGCTTTTATGATTTTCATGCACAGCAGAGTGTGATTCTGTTATCTTTTATGAAATAAAGTGATTGTAACCCTGTCCATAGGCTCAACCAATGAGCTATCTTTATTCATTAAATTGTGTGGATTTCTAATTGTACCAATCATCTTATACCAACTAAAACAACCACTGCATTGAGAATATAAGCTTTTCAAAATAACTTACTTTGACAACTAGAAAATTTTGGCTAGCAGTGGAAACATGTCCTCAAATGGAACTACGGAAACTGATTAAAATGTTTTTTATAGTTTGTAATTGCCATATCATGTCTTTCAACTTTTTTACGAGATTAACTATTAAAGTAGATGATAAACTCTTATGATAAACTAGGCCACTCTACATTTTTATTGTATAAATTAACATTTTTATTAAGCACCAATAAAATCATACCAGTAAAATTCCTTCAGGAATATAAAATCAATTGCAACTTTAAACAATGTAAATTCTATTTCAAATGCTCAAGCAATACCTGTTAGGTTAGTAATAAAAATATTCAATTTGCTGTGTCTGAATGTATTAAGTTACAGTAGCTGATGTGATTTGATTCTCTTTTGAAGCTTTACAAAATATACTAGTTACTTGAAGGAGCTGTGATGGGGTCTGTTGAACATCTGAGTTCACTAAAAGGTTACAAAATTTGTTTCAAGTTTGTAAACAGAAATCTAGAACATTTAGCATGCAGTTGCAGCTACCTAGATTCACATTCAATACATTACAACCAATAATATATTTGAATTGAAGATGTGATCACAGAAGTTTTCAGATCTGAGTAACTGCTATTTGCCATAAAATTTATAATAGACATTGAGAATTATAGCTGTCAGAATATTTTAGAAGTAGCATTATCTACCAAGTCTTTGAAACATACTTTTTATACAAGGCTCTGATCTATTCAAAGTATAAGTGATTCTTAGAATCTGAGGGCCAGATCATCAGCTAGTATAAATTAGTGTAGCTACACTGAAGTCAATGGAGTTGCTCCAACATTCACCAGCTGACAATCTGGTCTTAACTGTCTTATGGACCAGGGGATTCATTGATTCATACTTGTGAAGGGGAGGCATTGTTACCCACTCATGGGGAAAGGCAGCTTTAAAGTGCAACTAGGGTTTCACAGGAGCCCAGTCACTATACACCACGCAAAAAATATGTTGAATCAGCATATCTCCTTGCCCTAGACAGCGCTGCTCACTTTAGGGACTGCAGTGGCTGCATACAGGCCCTTGATAGAGTGGAAGTTTTGTACTGACGCAGCTGTCCCCCAGATTTCAAATTGCCAAAAGCCATGCAGGCTAGTTATGCTGATGAAAGCCAGCATAAATTGGGGCTGAATCAAGCCTAAAGATCATAAATGTATTTTAATTTAATTTGGTTTGAGAGGTGGCTACTAAGGGGGCCATAAACTGCCCTCCATCTACACACACACACACACACACACACACACACACACACACACACACACACACACACACAGGAAACCAATGGGATATGTTAAGCTCGATGGTACAGCTGAAAACTAAACAGGAACTGGAAACTAAACACGAGTCATATTAGTCTTATATGAAAGGTGAAAAGCTGTTTGTGAAAACAACCCTTAACCCATCCAACAACATTGAAATTATTTAAAAAGCCAATGTACTCTTACAATTTCTTTACACAGAATGCCATCAGTATGGTAGATAAATTATTGGTCCTTCTTCAACTCATGTGCTGTCTTTCTTGTTTGATCTTGTTGGTCATGTGATGGGAGTGGATCAACATAAATGAGTGCTCGATAAATCTTCACATACCTGAAGTAGCTTATAACAAGGATGCCCCCAAAAATGGACAGTATGAGGATTGAAAAGCCAGCAACCTTCCCAATGTTTGGACTGAAATACAAATGAGATTCGATTAAGAATAGATGTGGTAAATTTTCAAATTCTCCCCTTTAGTCAAGAATCTCTTTGACTTTATATTGACAGAAGACATAACTCTATTTGGAATGATGTCTTCTGAAAACTCTTAAAAATGATATGCATCTTCATGAAAATATGGCTGATTAATGATTAAGTTTCTCTTTTACTCTTCTTTATGGTCATGATGATGTAGAAGTCAAGAGCAAAATCCAAATGATTTTCTATAGAAGTCAATGGCAAGACTCTATGATTTTAGTGGGACCAGGATCAAACACTTTATAAAGAGGTGAGTGAGTATAATGGGAACACTATAAAAGTTCATTCTGGTTTAGAAATATTACTGGTTCCAGTGATATCGCCTATACTTAAAATGGGGAATACTGTTAGAACTGGAATGAAATTGTACCCTACCATCAGGCCAAAGGATTGGATTTGGATATCGTCTCTAAGATCTCATTACCTATCTGTAAGACTGGGAGTGTCACCAAAGGATAACAATATTTTTATCCCTATATAAATATTAAATAATAATAAATTATGTTTAGTTGTGGCTACTAGCAATTACCTTTCTACTATGCCATATGTACGGACTGCAAAGATTGTATTTAAGTCACAAAAACTGGAATATAAAAAAAGACTGTTAAATATTTTCTCAACTATAAAAATATTCAGAATGAAAACACAGAAGCACAATGAAACCATCTGGTGCCCACATTCACCACACCTCAAGTACTAACTAAAAACTTTATTTAAACTTGAATAAACACATCCAAATTATTTTTTAAAACCATGTACTTTTATATAACTTTCATAATTTAATGCAATGTTGTCAATTCTACTGATTTTTTTGTGAGTGATGGGATTTCACCTGGGGCTGGAGCCAATCTTGCAATGATGTGAGTTGCTTTAGCTCTCTAGTGAATTTCAGCCTGCCTGGGGGAAAACCCACTGACTGGCTCTTTTCTCCAGTTGCCTGCCTCCTGGGGAAGATCAGCCAATCAGAGCTGCTGCAGGAGCAAGCAGCGCACTCTCCCTCTACCCTCAGCAACCTGAAGCCATTCTCACAGGAGGGGAGAGGATAATGGGGAGCAGAAAGAGCCCAGCAGCACTGGACAGCTCCACTTCCTCCTCCCCACTCCTCTCCTGTGAGCAATGGGACAGCTCCTCTGCTCCTCCCACCTCATCTGTTGTAACACCCAGCCTGAAATGGTTTGGGGAGCTGCAGAACCCTAGGAGCTGCCCACCTAGTCTGGATGGGACTCTGCTGGAGCACCTCCATCCCCTTGGAGGTGGAGAAGGGGTGAAGAACCCCAGGAGGAGCAGAGGTGGGGATGGGGCGGCCAAACTGATGGGTGGGGGAAATTGTTGGGGGTTATATGCGGACTAGTCAGCAGAAATGATGTGGGGTCTGGATGCAGAACTGATGGGGGACTGGGGGCTGAACTGATGGGGGCTGGGAGGGAAAAAAGATGAAAGGATGGGTAGATGTGGGGCTGGGAGGGCTGGAAAGAACTGATGTGGAGGCAGAACTGATGCAGGGATTGGTTCAGGGCTGGGAGGCAGTACAGGGTAACACAAAAACATTCTACAAATACATTAGAAACAAGAGGAAGACCAAGGACAGGGTAGGCCCATTACTCAATGGGGGTGGGGGTGGAACAATAACAGAAAATGTGGAGATGGCAGAAGTGCTAAATTAATTTTGTTTCAGTTTTCACCAAAAAGGTTAATAGCGATTGGATGTCTAACATAGTGAATGTCAGTGAAAATGAGGTAAGATCAGCGGCTAAAATAGGGAAAGAACAAGTTAAAAATTACTTAGACAAGTTAGATGTCTTCAAGTCACCAGGGCCTGATGAAATACATCCTAGAATACTCAAGGAGCTGACTGAGGAGATATCTGAGCCATTAGTGATTATCTTTGAAAAGTCATGGAAGATGGGAGAGATTCCAGAGGACCGAAAAGGGGCAAATATAGTCAGGGGTGAAAGTAGACCAGTACGGCGTACCGGTAAGAAGTGGCCGCCAGTACCTGCCTGTACGCAGCCAACATTAAAGCGCTGCCGTGGCAGCGCTTTAACGTCACTGCCCCTGTCCCCCCTCCCGGTGGCCCTGCCGGTAGGGACCCTACCGGCAGGGCCGCTGATGGAGTGGGATGATGGTGTAAAAGGGGCAGCTGCCCCGCGGCGCAGCAATTTAAAAGGCAGCGTGTATGGGCTGGCTGGGGGAGGCTGACCCCCAGCTCTGCCCCCTTCTGCCCAAGGCCCCACCGCTTCTGGGGGCCCGGAGTCAGGCCCCCGTACTGGTAAGTCTTCTGTGTTACTGTCACCCCTGAATATAGTGCCCATCTATAAAAAGGGGAATAAAGACAACCCAGGGGATTACAGACCAGTCCACTTAACTTCAGTACCCGGATAATGGAGCAAATAATTAAGCAATCAGTTTGCAAACACCTAGAAGATAATAAGGTGATAAGTAACAGCATGGATTTGTCAAGAACACATCGTGTCAAACCTATCTAATAGCTTTCTTTGACAGAGTAACAAATCTTGTGGATGGGGGGAAGCGGTAACTGTGGTATATCTTGATGTTAGTAAGGCTTTTGATACTGTCTCACATGACCTTCTCATAAATAAACTAGGGAAGTACAACCTACATGGAGCTACTATAAGGTGGGTGCATAACTGGTTAGAAAACCATTCCCAGAGATTAGTTATCAGTGGTTCACAGTCAAGCTGGAAGGGCATATCAATTGGGGTCCCGTGGGGATGAGTTCTGGGTCCAGTTCTGTTCAATATCTTCATCAGTGATTTAGATAATAGCACAGAGAGTACACTTATAAAGTTTGTGGATGATAAACTGGGAGGGGTTGCAAGTGCTTTGGGATTAAAATTCTAAACGATCTGGACAAACTGGAGAAGTGGTCTGAAGTAAACAGGATGAATTTCAATAAGGACAAATGCAGAGTACTCCACTTAGGAATGAACAATCAGTTGCACACATACAAAATAGGAAATGACTGTCTAGGAAGAAGTATTGTGGAAAGGGAGCTGGGGGTCATAGTGGATCACAAACTAAATAAGAGTCAATAGTGTAACACTGTTGCAAAAACAGCAAACATCAATCTGGGGTGTATTAGCAGAAGTGTTTTAAGCAAGATATGAGAAGTAATTCTTCTACTCTACTCTGCACTGATAAGACCTCAACTGGACTATTGTGTCCAGTTTTGGGTGCCACATTTCAGGAAAGATATGGACAAATTAGAGGAAGTCCACAGAAGACCAACAAAAATGATTAAAGGTCTAGAAAACATGACCCATGAGGGAAGATTGAAAAAACTGGGTTTCTTAAGTCTTGAGAAGAGAAGACAGAGGAGACATAACAGTTTTCAAATATATAAAAGGTTGTTACAAGGAGGAGGGAGAAAAATTGTTCTCCTTAACCTCTGAGGATAGGACAAGAAGCAATGGCCTTACATTGCAGCAAGGGCAGTTTAGTTTGGACATTAGGAAAAACTTCTTAACTGTTCGAGTGGTTATGCACTGGAATAAATTGCCCAGGGAGTACTTGGAATCTCCATCATTGGAGATTGTTAAGAGTAGGTTAGACAAACACCTGTCAGAGATGGTCTAGATCAGGGGTGGGCAAATTACGGCCGGTGGGCCAGAACCGGCCTGCAAGCTGTTTTAATCCGGCCCTTGAGTTCCCACTGGGGAGCAGGATCTGGGGCTTGCCCTGCTCTGGCGCTCCAGCCAGAGAGCAGGGTCGGAGGCCACACCACGCGGCTCCCAGAAGCAGTGGCATGGCCCCCCTCCGGCGCTCCATCCGGGGAGCAGGGTCGGGGGCCTGGCACACCGCTCCTGGAAGTAGCGGCATGGCCCCCCCAGCTCCTATGTGTAGGGGCAGTCAGGGACCTCCGCTCTGCACACTGCTCCCGCCTCACGTGCTGCCCCTGCAGCTCCCATTGGCCGGGAACCGCAGCCAATGGGAGCTGCAGGGGCGGTGCCTGCGGATGGGTCAGTGTGCAGAGCCTTCTGGCCACGCCTCCGTGTAGGAGCCAGAGAAGGGACATGCCGCTGCTTCCGGGAGCCACTTGAGGTAAGCAGTGCCCGAAGCCTGCACCCCTGAGCCTCTCCCTGCGCCCCACTCCCCTGCCCCAGCCCTGATCCCCCTCCCACCCTCCAAACCCCTCAGTCCCAGCCCGGAGCACCCTCCTACACCCCAAACTCCTCACCCCCAGCCCCACCCCAGAGCCAGCACCCCCAGCTGGAGCCCTCACCCCCCCCGCGCCCCACTCCCTCACCCTCACCCCCTCCCGCACCCTGAACTCCTCATTTCTGGTCCCACCCCGGAGCCGGCACCCCCCAACCAGAGTCCTCACCCCCTCCTACGCCCCAAACCCAATTTTGGGAGCATTCATGGCCCGCCATACAATTTCTATTCCCAGATGTGGCCCTCGGGCCAAAAAGTTTGCCCACCCCTGGTCTAGATAATACGTAGTCCTGCCATGAACGCAGGAGATTGGACTAGGTGACCTCTTGAGGTCCTTTCCAGTCCTACGATTCTATGATTCTGTGACAGGGGAAAAGGATTGATTTGGAAGTTGGGGGCAGAATAAATTGGTAGGAAGAGGATGGGCAGGTGTGGAGGTGAGAGCTCCTGCAGAGGGACCAAAATCACCTTACTCAATAAATTTGGGAGAATGGCGGACAGTAATTGTAACATACATACAGCAAAGGCCAGGGGGAGTTCAAAACTCAAAAGATAAACCAAAAACACAATATAATTTTTAAAAATAAAATCTCATGATTTTGGGGGTTTCACTCATGATTTTTGAACATTTGGGGTTGGCAATATGGTTAATGTAATATTGATTTTTAATATATTGGGCATTACACTGACTTTCTGTAATGGTGTTGACTTCCAGGAGCATCCGGGGTGAGTTTTGACACCTTCCCTGCTTTGGAAAAAAACATGTTGGACAAGATTCATCCTGGCAGTGCCACTAGGGCTCGTGTAGGGCCTAATTTGTGCTCTAGCTGCTATGGGCCTTGTGCAGCAGGGAATAGCTGGGTCATAGGGACATCCTGGCCAGTGCCCATCCTGCCCTCAATCTGCACCTGCATTGGTGGCTCCTGCATTGGGGGACACAACCCCTGTGCTAGTGTATCCTGTCAGGGCCTTCTTCGGGGAGGTGCAGCCTGCACAAAGGGGCCATAAGGCAGAGATGAAATCCTTCCTTTGACGTTTTATCAATGAAATACCTCTGTGAGTGTTCGGTATTTATGGAAAAAGCAACCGAGGGTCCTGTGGCACCTTTAAGACTAACAGATGTATTGGAGCATAAGCTTTCGTGGGTGAATACCCACTTCATCAGACGCATGCGCATTCACCCACGAAAGCTTATGCTCCAATACATGTTAGTCTTAAAGGTGCCACAGGACCCTCCGTTGCTTTTTACAGATCCAGACTAACACGGCTACCCCTCTCATACTTGACACGGTATTTATGGGTCTCTCTCACTATGTTTCAGACAATATGTAGGATTCGTGTTACTACATATTCCTAAATGGAATCCCTTATGGAGTTTATTAAAAATTTCCTTTACATTATGGGGTAGATAAAATGAGAAACTGAAATGGTTTATTAAAGGGAAGGCAAATATCCTTAAGGTGTGGCTAACCTTTGGTAAGTGACTGTAAAAATGTCATTGTGCAGTTCAATATTTCTTGTCTTTCAATGATTTCCATATCAAATATATTCAGTTCACACAAGATTTTTTTCTCCAAATACCAGCCCTACAAACTCAACCTGAGCTCTGAGAACCAAGCTGGGGTTTTCCATGCTCAGACATATATCATCACCTTTAGGCCAAATTAGACCCTTTGTTACAGCTGTGCAACCCCACTGTCTTCAGATTATACTCTCAGTGGCATTTATGTAGTTGAATTGTCATTCATAGATCCAGTTCACCAACTCTTATGTAGGTTAGTTCTGCAGTGCTAACAGAAATAACTTTCTTTTAGTCACTTAGCCTAAATTTGCAGAGATTACTCTGAATAAAAGGAAAGAGAAGATCTGTTAAGTAAGATGACATTTTTACAGTCACTTTAGAAAAAAAAAAACTGGTTTGACTGTCAGATCCCAGATTTACACTAATGTAATTGAAATTACAATCTGGCCCAGTGGGTCCTGTTGTCAAATCCACATGTTGAAGGCCTCTTGCCTTCCTTTCCATAGAGGTAGGATGAACATTATGTTTATAGCAGCCTATACGGAAAATGACTAGAAATCTAAGAGGAAAAAATAATAGCTGCACAATGAAAGGGTTGAGGACCCTCAGAACCATATCTGAACCATCCATCAGTTAGAACTGGTAGTGGAAAATACCTGCAACATCTATGGCCAAGTGATACCTCAAGCAAAATAATTTTTTTAAATGACAACAATGGTTACTTTATTAATCTTAATCCTAAATCAATCATTAAAAAGACTTTTTACATGTCAAAAAAGAAATATTTAACCTGAAATTTGGGTCCACTATCTTCACTCTGAACACATAAATGCCACTGTACTCAGTAGGCCAAATGAGAGAATTGTAACCAGAGTGGTTCAAAATTTGATACAGCTGATTTAGGTCTCCTAGAGGTCCAAGTTCAGATTCAAAGCAGGATCTGTAATTCTGAATAGAAACAATAAAGGAGATTTTTTAAACTAGCTTTGACAAACAATTACACCTACTTGTCTGAGTTTCTGGACTTGTAATTACCTGCCTGCCTCTCTCTCATCTATCTATCTATCTATGACAAAGCAATAACTCCTTGGAGGTTGGTTTCACAAGCTCTATATACTTAGCCAGCTACGTTGGCTAGCAAGGAAGGGAGAAGCCTGGTTCCCACACATTCCTTGCCTTGTTTCAAACAGTCTACACCCTAAAATAAACTTGTTTAATTTAAATCTAAACCAACCCAGTGTTGTATCTGAATTGAAGTGACTGGGATTCATTAACTCCAGTTAATGTGGCAAGCTGCTGGGTATTTACTCTTTAAAGGAGCAAGCAAACCTTCTTAGCCCTCTGAATGCTCCAGGAAAGATCTGGACATTTCAGAGCAGATAGTTTGGGGAAAATTCAGGACTGGGGGTGTGTTGGAGTCACTTGGCTAGTAGTAACCAAAGCTGGTAGATGCCAGAATGAGGCTGGGGTGTAACAAGCAAGCTACTGGAATCAGAGTGCTGACCCAGAGCTGCTTAACAAACAGACAGTGCATGCTTGTCTGTTGGCTGTCAGCAGGGCTGGCTCCAGGCACCAGCAAAGGAAGCAGGTGCCTGGGGCGGCCAATAGAAAGGGGCGGCACTCCGTCCGTTGTTGGGGTGGCACGTCTGGGTCTGCGGTGGCAATTTGGCGGCGGGTCCTTCAGTTCCTTGCTTCCTCTAGGGCGGCAGCTCAATCGCTCCGCTTCTGTTTTTGGTGGCAATTCGGCGGCGGGTCCTTCCCTCCTTCTCTTCCTCTTCAGCAGCACTTCGGCGGCAGCTCAGTCGGGTTTTTCTTTTGTTTTCTTTTTTTCTTCCTTCGCCACTTCGGGTGGCAAAAAAGCTGGAGCCGGCCCTGGCTGTCAGTGTCCAGGCTATGAGCCACAGCAGCAAAGCATTGAAGGCACCCAGAGTTACAGGGCTGGTGGTAAAACAACCACACCCCAGAACCAGAGCAGCCCGGGAGGGGGCAAGTGGGGCAATTTGCCCCAGGCCCCGGGCCCCACAAGGGCCCCCACGAGAATGTCGGAGGCTCTCCCCCGTCCCCACCTTCACCTTCCCCCATCCCCTGGTGCCTCAGCGCGCTGCGTCCAGGAGAGGCTCTGGACAGCGCTGCAGTGGCGTGCAGGGCCGGCTCCAGCATTTCTGCTGCCCCAAGCCAAAAAAAAAAAAAATAAAAAGATGCGATTGCAATCGCGATCGGCGGCGGCAATTGGGGAAAAAAAGAAAAAAAAAAAGACGCGATTGGCGGCAGCAGTTCAGCGGCAGGTCCTTCGCTCCTAGAGGGAGTGAGGGACCTGCCGCCCCGAATTGCCGCACGTGCCGCCCCTCTCCCTTGGCCGCCCCAAGCACCTGCTTGTTAAGCTGGTGCCTGGAGCCGGCCCTGGTGGCGTGGCCTGAGCTCCTCCCACTCAGAGCCGCATGGTAAGGGGGCACGGCTCCGAGTGGCGGGAGCTCAGGTCCCGTGGATCCACGCCGCTGCAGCGCTGTCCAGGGCCACTCCTGGACGCGACGTGCTGAGGCTCCGGGAGAGGCGGGAGTAAGCAGCATGGTAAGCCCCTCTGAGCCAGACACCCCCCTCACCTCCCCGCCCACAGTCCTGACCCCCAGCTCCGAGCCCAGTCCCTCTGAGCCGGACACCCCCCTGACCCCACTCTCCCCACAGCCCTGATCCCTAGCTCCGAGCCCAGCCCCTCTGAGCCAGGCACCCCCCGACCCCATCCCCACACAGCCCTGACCCCCAGCTCTGAGCCCAGTCCCTCTGAGCTGGGCACCCCCGGACCCCATTCCCCCACAGCCCTGACCCCCAGCTCTGAGCCGGGCACCCCCCGACCCAGAGCCCAGCTCCCCACCCAGCCCTGGGCAACAGCAGCGCCACCCTCAGGCAGCGACAGCCCATTGGCACCAACCATCACCATCACCCAGCAACAGCTCCATTATGTAATTGCAAATGTATACATACCATTAAAGCATTTAATGTTTTTAAATAATGTATTTCGTGTATTTTCAAATTATTAAAAATGTATTTCACTGGTTATTTTTTACATTTCCAAATACATGTTACTATAGTATTGCAACTTTTTTTTTTATGGAAGGGTCCCCCTAAATTGCTTTGCCCCAGGCCCCCTGAATCCTCTGAGCGGCCCTGCCCAGAACATGACGTAAGGGAATGGGTTCAGACAGACCAATGGTCTGAAAAGGCACGGGGACATAAGGGCATTAAACGTCAACACTGAAACATTAAAAAAAAAAAAAAAACCAATAGAACTAACTTCCCCTACATCTGGAGATGCCCAAAACTTTTACCCCCAACCTGAGGCCTCTAATTGCCCTGGTAGTGCACATTAAGATGAGATGCACAGCCTGGTGACATGGCTGTTAGGTGGCTGCTCAGTCTGGACCTCTGGCCTGGTGGAATATATTGCTCCTCAGCTACTCAGCCTTCAGCTTCTCTTGGAACATATGCTAGTCTAAGTGCAAAGTGTTCACTACCTTTCCCAGTTCAACTGTGTCCTTTTCCCTTCAATCATAGTCCTTTCCCCAAGCTCATGCACCCTCCCACCTAGGGCAACACAGTCCTTCCTTCTTTCACTGAGCCCTCCCCACAGCCCTCACTCTCCCAATCACACACTCCTGCCAAGATAGTGCCCGCCCCCAAGTTCCTCCCAACTGTCCAGGAATCCTCCAGCTTCTTGCCCCTCTGAGCCATTGATCTTCCAGGACTTGGCTGTTCACACTTAAGTGCTGATTACAATAGTTTAGTGAATTGGAATCATACGAATGCCCCTTTGGCCCAGCAGAATGCCAGTTTGGGGCCTCATGAAGTGATTTTGTTTGGATGAGAAATCAGTGAAACAAAATTGAGGTGTAATTCTTTTATACATAGAATTATATTGGTGAAATCCTAGTCCCATTGAAGTCAATAATGAAACTCTCATTGACTTTAATGGAGCCAGGATTTCACCCAAAGTTCTGTTTCTCTGAACATACAGCACACATGCTTTTGTAGAAATCTCAAGCCAGACTCCAGCCCTGTGCCCAAGAAACTGCTGTAACAGGGTCACACGCTGCTGCTGCTGACTCACTCTAACTGCTTAAACACACAGCCTTCTTACAGCCCTCAGCCCCTACATTTATGCCTGGGGAGACTCCATTAGTTCCACACTTTCCCTCTGGCCACATGGCTTGCCATCTCTCTCAAGGGTTAGCCCCTCCCTTGTGTCCAGCTGTTTACCACTACAAAAGAAGTTCAGTTGCTCGTAAAGCTATACAATATTTTAGTACACTCATTTATTTTAATGATGTTTGTGATTTTCTTTCAACCAGACACATGACAACAAGGGGTTAGTGTCTTTCGGAATAACAATATCCTTCCATAGCATTGTCAGATAATTACTGTATTGCCATCTGACTTGTATTCCACTTGCTCCATCATGCTTTAATTAGACTTCCCCCTCCCCGAGATACTAATAGTGTGAGAATGCCAAGTAAGACAGCTGCAGAGTTCATTCATATTTTTCATAAACTATTTGTAAATATATAATTTCCTACCTGTGGCCCCCATATTTCGTCTAATGTACCGTTTTCATGTTCCTCAAGCATTGAAATCCAAGTCTGTGCTTCACGCAAACAACCCACCTATTCAAAAGAATTCAAATGTACAAAATAAAAAAAATATTAGTTCTCTATCCCTGTGTTATTTTCTGAAGGGTAATACAGTATTTACATAGGTCTTGGGCATTGTGGTTCTGTATATTTTATTTATCTTATATAGCTCCTATAGTGAAAGAACCCCGGTACAAATCTAAGGCAACAAAACATACTTGGGGAAAGACTCTGTCCTTAGGGGGTACATTGTTTTAAAATAAAATATTGGGATAATAATATTAAGAATAAGAAGGTTAACATCAAGTAGGGCTTCAAGTTTCAATAGCTTCCTGTACTCATTGAAGTAGGCAGCACCGATGAGAATAAAATAAATGCTTCTTGAAGGGAGCCAAATTAAATGGGCTTGACTTGACCATGATATGTAAATAGGCACTAATGTAAATTGTAGCCATAGCAAAAATACATTCTGAGAAGGAAAAGGAACAAATGGACTTGTAGCCCTTACAGCATCTACAATGTCTGAGCTGTGCATTCTGTAGGGAGTTGGTACCAGAAAGACAGTAATAAAAAAAAAAGAAGAAGAAGAAGAAGAAGAAGGGGACTGACACATTGAAGCACTTAGGATATGTCTACACTGCAATTAGACTCAGGCTTCTGGGGCTCGGGCTAATGGGCTGTTTAATTGCGGTGTAGGGTATAGACGTTTGAGCTCGGGTTGCAACCTAAGCTCTCACTCAGACCCTCCCACCTTGCAGGGTTCTAGAGCCCAGGCCCATCCACCTGAAACGTCTAAATCACAATTAAACAGCCTCATAGCCTGAGCCCCATGACTCTACGTCAGCTCGCACAGGCCAGCCGTGGGTTTTTAATTGCAGTGTAGACATAGCCTTAGGAAAAATGTAAGGTGTCCAAGAAACAATGAGACATCAAAACAAAGTGGGATGCAACACAGCTGAGGAGCCAGACAGTGACCCTCCACAGGTGCTCCTTCATCAATCATGGTCATTCAGGTACTGACCATTGCAGCACTTAGGACTATACTCTGATTTCACTTATATAAGAAGGACTACATCCCAAGACTCCAGTCCCCATAACATTAGGGCTCTTTTATGAACTGTTGTCAGAGGAATCCAGTCTGCCGTCCTCTGAGCTCCCACAATCCCATACTATGGATGAAGATTCAGCAAAAGGTAATTCAGGTAAGAGACCTGAACCAAAGCCGTTGAAGTCAACGATTGATTTCCATTTTTTTTTTTGTACCAAACCCAATGTTAGTACTGTCTTGCTTTAGTATCTTCCTGCAGGGGTCGGGATGATGATGTATTGAGCAGCTATGCCACACAAGCCATGGCTTTTCTATTGCCAGCCATTTCCATCTTCCAAACTGTGAAGAGTCAATTCTGCTAAAGCTCATCCCTATTTTTGCCAAATTCTGGCCTAGTCTAGCAATAATTCCATTTCCTAGCCTTCCATACATTACTTTGACAGCATGATCTGACTTTGGGTGTCCTGGGGAGCATGTCACTCTGCTTAAAAATGAAAGGCTATATTCTGTTTTCCATAGGTGGCAACTTCTCCAGGTGCCGATGGGTGCTCGACACCCCCCCTCACCCCCACCCCGACTCCACCCCTGCCCCGCCCCCTCCTGCCCCTGCCCCACCCCCATTCCACCCCCTTCCCCAAATCCCCACCCCAGCCTCTTCCCCGCCTCCTCCTCTGAGGGCACCGCGTTCCTGCTCCTCCTCCCCCCTCCCTCCCACAGCTTGTTATGCCGCAAAACATCTGTTTTGCGGCGGCAAGCACTGGGAGGAGAAGCGGGAAGGGGGTGCGCTCGGGGGGGGGGGCAGGGGGGGGGGGGGGGGGGGGGCGGGGAGCTTGGCTGCCGGTGGGTGCAGACCACTCACCAATTTTTCCCCATGGGTGCTCCAGCCCGGGAGCACCCACGGAGTTGGTGCCTATGCTGCTTTCAGTTATATAGAAATTGCTTTTCATAGGATTGCATGGGTATTACTGATGGCAGAATTTGACTTCAGAGATTGCAATGATCTCTTTTTAAGAACAGGCTAGATAAACACCTGTCAGGTATGGTCTAGGTATACATAGCAGGAAGGACTAGATGATCTCTTAAGAGCTTCCCAGCCCTACATTTCTGTGATTCTATATGGATAGTCCTATATTCCCATTTCCCCACAAACAGAGGGCAGACTTCAAAACTTCAAGATGGTTTTGAAGATTCACTTCCTGAACCATACTACCATGCACATAATTCTTTTTTCTTTTCTTTAATTACCTCTTGATTTTTATTCATGTGTTCAGTTTTGAACAGTGTATGCTGTTAAAATCAATAAATTAAATGCTGAAAGTTACAAGTAATGAAATCTGCAACTACTATACAATACTTCCATTCAAACAGGGTGATTCAGACTGAAGAGGACTGAACATGTATAAAAACAATCTTTACCCAACTGCACTAACAGATAGCAAGTGTAAAAAATCAGGACGGGGGTGGGGGGCTATAGGTGCTTATATAAGAAAAAGCCGCCCAAATCAGGACTGTCCCTATAAAATCGGGACATCTGGTCACCCTAAACTGCCACAATATATAGTGACAAATATAATCTAAATAAAAAGATGCCTTACCTGCTTCATAGATGAGTTATAGCTGTAGTCACTTCTGCCCTGAACCTCCCATAATATAAAATTTGCCTCAACTGTTTTAACAAATGTGCTGCCATCATATCTATAAACAATACAGGTATAATATAATGCTTCAGTAAAAGTATATAAATGAGCAAATACCTCTCACTCCATGGCCCTGGTGGGAAACATGGACAGTGCGGTGCTGCTGTGCAAAAAGAATAAAGGACAAGCAGGGAATGTACAGCCCAGAGCAGAGGTGGGCAAACTACGGCCCGCGGGCCACATCCGGCCCACGGGACCGTCCTGCCTGGTCCTTGAGCTCCCGGCCAGGGAGGCTAGCCCCTGGCCCCTCCCCTGCTGTCCCCCCTTCCTTGCAGCCTCAGCTCGCCATGACACCAGCGCTCTGAGCAGCAGGGCTGCGAGCTCCTGCCGGGCAGCATGGCGTTGTGGCTGGCTCCGGCCGGGCGGCACGGCTGCCAGTCCTGGAGCTCTGAGTGGCATGGTAAGGGGGCGGGGAGCGGGGAGGTTGGATAAGGGACAGGAGGTCCCGGGGGCAGTCAGGGGACAGGGGGTGGTTGGATAGGCATGGGAGTCCTGGGGGGGGCCTGTCGGGGGCGGGGGTGTGGATAGAGGTCGGGGCAGTCAGGGGACAGGGAGCACGGGGGGTTGGATAGAGGGTGGAGTCCCAGAGGGGCAGTCAGGGGACAAGGAGCAGGGGGGTTGGATGGTTTGGGGGTTCGGAGGGGGGCAGTCAGGGGGCGGGAAGTGGGAGGGGGCGGATAGGGGGCGGGAGCCAGGCTGTTTGGAGAGGCACAGCCTTCCCTACTCGTCCCTCCATACAGTTTCGGAACCCCGATGTGGCCTCAGGCCAAAAAGTTTGCCCACCCCTGGCCCAGAGGCTTTGCTCTGAGGACTCCCTACACAACAGTGCACTGTGGGCAAATAGAATGCAGCATCATGGGTGGGACCAAAGGATCTTCTGCAGTGTGGATATTCCTTCCTTCAGCACTGGGCTGGCTATTGTTACGCTTGCCATTCAGCTGGAGTAGCCACTACAGCTTCAGAGAACTGTGTAGCGCTGTGGGAAGGAGTCCTCTTGCCACACATTATTTCAGCTTTATACTTACAAGGCAATATCAGGGTGAAAAGGTATTGCATAATGAAGATCCATTAGGCAGCCATACTCATCCCAATCATAATTTACCACCTAAAAAAGAAAAGTTGTGGTAATATACTGTATATTTGTCTATATTTCTTCTTTGCATGTGTAACCCACACACCTTCTGGGTGTGGTGTTGTGTCCCATCTAATGGCACTGAGACCACTTAGAGAGACAGATAAAAGGAGTCTGCTCTACAGCCTTAGCTAACAGGCAGTTGGCTTTTAGCTCATGCTGTAGAGACTCATGCACTAAGCTCCAAAGGTCCCTCCTTCAATCCTGTCCGTCTGTCGGCGTTACACATGCACACTCACATCAACTAAAGTAAAACCCGGTAACTCTCTTACCAGGTCTTCAGTTGTTGGATCCCACAGATATTCCCTAGTGTAAGGAAAAACTTATTGTTGGTTTTACACCTTTTCAAACCATATTCCCCTCTTTTCTGGTATAAAATGGATTGGATTGTTTAAGTAGGCAGATTTAAAACTGAGCATGCAATTTTCTTCATGGTTTAAAAACATGCGAAACAAGCTTTTCCAAATCCCCCTGCTATAAAGTTGTAAACTCTGCCAGTTGTAATGTATATCATTAGACATCTTAAAGAGACATCAACTTAAAAATAACACTTGCATCTGACAATCTGTAAGCAACTACTGTTATAAGCATTACTCATAACTAGTAACTAAAATAGCTCTTTTTCCTCCCAACTTTCTTCTCTTAGAGCATGTGGCTGCTCTCCTGGCCCCATTGAATTCAATGGGAATTTTGCTATTGACTTTAGTGGGCCATGGTTTCACTCCTTGTGTACAGTCACTTTCACTGTACAGTCATTTGAGGCTTGATCATGTTACCATTGAAATCCAATGACAGAACTCCCATTAACTTCTATGGGTGAAGGATTAGGCCCTTAGTTGTTTTCCCTGTTTGTGTGGATATTTCAGACAGCAACATTGGAGAGAAAAACATTTTAAAAAAAATCGGATGATGTGATTGGATCAAACACAAAACCTGTGATGGGGACTAAAGGACAGGTGTAGTAACAAACTACTTTTAACTAGATTTTCTCTCTTTTTTTTTTTTTTTCCGGTTTATTAGGTTTGTTTTTTAGAATGTCTCTTTACAAATTATATATATATATATATATATAAATAATGTGGCTTCCTGCATTTTCATATATAAATTATATCTAAAAGGCCCTATATTTCTTTTTATGGTCATTTAATAAATCAAGTTTCTTACCCAGGTATTTTGTAAGTAGTAAAATTATGTTTGATACAGGTTATATCTGAAGGTCTGTGGAAATAAAACAGATGATCAGTATAATTTAAGGGTTTTTATTTGTTACTAAAGTAGTGCATGAAAATGTAAATGACTGAACTCATTATGCTAGTATTGTCTGAGAATTATCACTGTCCAATATTTGTTCTATATTTTGACCTCTATTCACCAAAACTTTCTCAAATGCTTTGATAGAGAAAATCTGGCCCATATTTAATGTCTCAATCTGGCCCCTTTTTCACCACTCTGGCAGTGCAAATTGGCCATACACTGGCCACATCTGGCTAGCTGTGAATTCCCTCGGCAGAGAGAAGCTCTCAACTGACAGAGCCAGCATAGCTTAACTGGTTCTTATTCCACTTTCTCTCCCAGCCATGTCATAGGGAGCATGCCAAGTGGGGGAAAGGGATGAGGCTGGAGTGCCACTGTGGTCTGCCTTAGGGGGCCCTTGCCAGCTAGCATATGTTTAGAGCAGCACTAGGGCTGCTCTAATCTACTCTGGAGCTGAAGCTGTGCAGAGCAAAGTTTCATGGATCCAACTTCTCATCTGAGCACTGAGCACCTATTTCAGTGATAAAAATTAGTTATTGTTGTTCTTCGAGAAATGTTGCACATATAGGGCTGGTCTACACTGGGGGGGGAAATCGATCTAAGATACGCAACTTCAGCTACGTGAATAGCGTAGCTGAAGTCCAAGTATCTTAGATCGATTTACCTTGGGTCCTCACGGCGCGGGATCGCCGGCTCCCCCGTCAACTCCGCTACCGCCACTCGCACGGGTGGAGTTCCGGAGTCGACGGGGAGCGCGTTCGGGGATCGATGTATCCTGTCTTAACAAGACACGATATATCAATCCCCGATAAATCAATCGCTACCCGCCGATACGGCGGGTAGTCTAGATGTACCCATACATTCCACTTAGGTATGTGTGCACTCCAAGCACAATCACTGGAAATTTTCCCCTTAATGGAACCCGTCAGGGCGCCCCCTGCCAGTGCATGCCAACAGCACCAGTATAAAGCATCCAGCCGACCCCACATCCCCTCAGTTCCTTCTTTCTGGAAAACTCCAGTTTAGAGGGGTCCGGGGGACTGGTTGTGGAATGGACATATTCAGTGCATCTCAAAGAAGAACAGTTATGGAAGGTTAGTAAACGTTTTTTCTTCTTTGAGTGATTGCACACGTGCATTCCACTCTATGTGACTCCCAAGCAGTTGAATAGATGGAGGGATTGGAGTTCATGGACACACAGACTGCAGAACAGCTTGACCAAATTTTGGTGTAATCTCTGGAATGCTGAGTGATGGCATAATGGAAGGAGAATGTGTGCACCGATGACCAGGTTGCTGCTTTACAAATGTCCTGAATAGGAATCTGCGCTAGGAATGCTGCTGGGGATGCTTATGATCTTGTGGAATGAACAGTCAGGTTAGTTGGTGGCGAAACGCTGACCTGCCTGATCATAACACGTGCGAATACATGAAGTAATCCAGGATGAAATTATCTGTGAAGAGATTGTGAGACCCTTCATCCTGTCAGCTACAGCTATGAACAGTTGAGTGGACCTTCAGAATGGTTTAGTTCTTTCTATGTAGAAAGCTAGGGTTCGTCCATCCAATGAGTAAAGACGTTCATTCCTATTTGCATGAGGCTTTGGATACAAGACAGGTAGGTAGAGTGCTTGATTGCTATGAAATTGTGAAACCAGTTTTGGGAGAAAACGGGGGTGAGGATGTAAATACACCTTATCCTTAATGAAGACTGTGTACGGAGGTTCTGATGGGAAGGCACGGAGTTCCAAGACCCTTCTGGCCAAAGCGATGGCGACTTAGAAAGCCACTTTCCAGGAGAGATATAACAAGGAGCACATTGCCAAAGGTTCAAGCAGTGGCCCCATAAGCTTTGATTAGATTAGGTTCAGGTCCCAGGGGGAACAGGTTCTTACTCAAGGGTACTGTATAACCTTTCTAGGCCTTTGAGGAACTGGACAGACATGTCATCTGAAAAAATTGACCTGTTATCCACCCAAGGGTGGAAAGCCGATACCCCTGCAAGGTGAACCTTGACAGAGGAGATTGCTAAGCCTTGCTGTTTTAGGTGCCATAAATATTCAAATATGTCTTGTATGGATGAATGCATGGGTGAGACTCCACGTTGGGATGCCCAAACCGAGAACTGCTTCCACTTCAAGAGAGGAGGGCTGGTGGAGGGCTTTCTACTACCTAGTAGGACCTGACAAACTTGCTCTGAGCAAGCCTGTTCTCTGAGATTTAGCTATGGAGTTTCCAGCCATTAGATGAAGGAGGCTCAGGTTTGGGTGGAGCAGCCGACTGTGGGCCTGGGAGATCAGGTCTGGATGCAACAGAAGTGGGATTGGAGTCACCACTGAGATGTCTAGCAGAGAACCAGTGTTGGCAGGGCCATGCTAGGTCCATCAGAATAATCTGGTCGTGGTCCTGTTTGATCTTTAGCAGCACCCTGTGCATGAGTGGACTAGGATGTAAAGCATAGTAAAGTTGTCCCATCCAAGGTAGTAGAAAGGCATCTATGATATAACTTGAACTATGGCTTCTTAGAGAGCACAACTGGTGACACTTTCTGTTGTACTTGTTTGCAAATAGGTCTATCTAGGGAGTCCCTCACTGCTGGAAAACAACTCTCACCACATCCAGGTGAAGGGACCACTCGTGGAGACTGGAGAAAGACCTGCTGAGGTGATCTGCCAGTTTTGCGTTCCTGGAAGGTAAGAGGCCTCAAGACTGATTGGCTATGTAAAACTGCCATAGCTGTATTGCTTCCTGACAAAGGAGGGAAGAGCAAGCTCCTCCTGGCCTGTTGAGATAAAACATGGCTGCAGTGTTGTTTGTGAGAACAAACAAGTTTCTGCCCATAATGTGGGGCAGAAAGGCCTGACAGGCAAGGCCAACTGCTTTGAGTTCCCTGACATTGATGTGGACTGATATTTCCGCCAAAGGCCTTGAGTTCTATGGGGAGCTCACGTGAGCTCCCCACCCTAGCACTGATGCATCTGAGACCAGGGTCATTGATGGTTGATGGCGCTTAAAGGGGACTCCCACACAAACTGTAAGCGGATCCAACCACCAATTTAGAAAGACAAGAACCTGTGGAGGTACCCGTGAGTACAGATGGTGGCATGTTGGCGAGTACATGGAGGCCAGCCATGTGTGGAAGGGTCTGAGGTGCAGCCTTGCGTGTGGTACCATGTATGTGCACAAGGCCATGTGACCTAAAAGCCTCATACAATTAATTTCAGGCTGTTGTAATTGGATGACCTTTGAGGTGTGTTATTAGGGATCTGATTGATTGGAATCACACCCCTGGAATGGGTAGAGTTGAGCACCGCCCCAATGAACTCTGTTCTCTGCAGTGGAGTGAGGGTAGACTTTTATGCATTTATCAGAAGGCCTAGGGCCTTGAACGTTGACTGGATGAGTTGAATGTTGGACACTACCTGATCTCTAAACCGACCATTGAGTCGCCAGTCATCTAGATAAGGGTAGACCTGCACCCCTAACCTCCTCAGAGGTTATGCCACCATACATTTTGTAATTGTATGCTAACATATATTGGTAATTTGAGTTGTTCACTACATATCTGAGGAACCTTCTGTGGACTTAGTATATCAACACGTGAAAATAAGCATCTCTTAAATTGAGGGTGGCATACCAGTCTATGGGAATCCAGTGAGGGGATAAGGGATGCCAGGGTGACCATGAGGAACTTTATTTTCTTGAGATGGGTCTAAAATTGGTGTGAGACCTCTCTTGAATTATGGGATTAGGAAATAATGGGAGTAGAACCCCTTCCCTCTTAAATTCTGCGGAACCTCTTCCATGGGTCCCACCCAAAGGAGAGATTGAACATCCTGGACCAGAAGTTCTTTGTGAGAGGGATCCCTGAGGAGGGATGGGGAGGGAGGGTGGAAAGGAGGGGTAGAAATAAACTGGAGGGCGTATCCAACGGGACTACAGGAAAGGTGGTTTGCAAATAAAGAAGAAACAGGGTCTAGCATCATGGAAACCGGTATGGCATTCTTGAGCATCCCATCAAAATGCCTGCTTAGAACACCTTGGATTCCTGGGTGGGGCAGACATTAACATCCAAGTAGAAGGGGGGTGGCCTATGCCTAAAACCCCTGATTTTCTTCCTCTGCAGTTCCTGATGGCCAGCCAGGGCAGAGTACCAGAAGGGTTGAGTCTTTTAGACCCTGAAGCTTCGCATCAGTCTGTTCCAAAAAAAGTGAAGCTCCTTCGAAAGGCAAGTCCTGAAGTGTCTGCTGGACCTCCTGAGGGAGGTCCCAAAGACTATAACCACGAACTCCTGCGCATGGCAACTGCCAAAACCATGGACCTGGCTGCCGAGTCAGCTGCATCCAAAGCAGATTGTAAAGAGGCCTTCGCCGTTGATTCTCCCTGATCCACTAGAGAGGAGAACTCATGCCTGGCCTCTTGTGGGAGCAAGTCCTTCAATTTCTGCACGGAGTCCCACATGTTAAAATCATACCTGCCCAGCAGCGCTTGCTGGTTTGCAATTCCACATTGTAACTTAGGGAAAATGGCATACTGGGCAAAGTTGCCCTCAATGCTTCCCTCAGTGACCCAATGCCCCCTAGGCCTGGGCAGCCAGCTTGATCCCCTCCATGCCCTCATCACAGCTTGACCATGGCTGAGGCACTGAATGGAGACAGAGCACTGACAGCACCATGCCCCAACCCCCTTATGGCCCATAGACACACTGAATGGAGGAGGGGCTCCTGCAGCAAAGCAGATCCCACCCCAGAGCTTTAGGGGCCACAGTCCCCTCCCACTGAGGCACTCACCATGGAATCTGGGGGAGCCCAGATCTTGAGGTGACAATAGGACAAGGAGGTCTGGTCTGTATCCCAGGGTCTAATTGGAGCCCTGTGACGGGGTGTACCTACCTCGCACCAGCCCCAAGAGGGTTAACTCGGCTTTGCGGGTTGAGGAAGCCCTACCCCTCCGACCCTGCTGGGC